GTCTCTTGAGTCACTGTGGCCTTGTCTCTTGCAAGAGTCTGAGAGCAGACCATCTGCCTGGAGCAAGGAGAGACGCACTGAGATGCCTGGAAGAGGTGTAGACCAGAGTCGCTGAGGAAGGACACTCTCCAAACTGGGCGGTGTGCTCCAGGTCCCCAGCTTTGGTGAGCTGTCGTCACCCACGCTGGGGTGGGCCCCGGGGATGCAGCTGTCTTTCGGTCATTTCTGCTCCTGTCATAACCCTTCACCCACACTCTGGTGGTATTCACATTTCAGTCTGTCGTGAGCTCCCTGTCTGGATACTCACCTAGACGTGCGTTGCATCTCCTCAGGAAAAGTTTGCTCAGACAGGAGTTGTGTTTGAGTTTTCTTTGGAAAACACACCTCTGATCATGTGACTTCATACTCAAAATCTTGCCACTCCTAAGGACAAGGATCACTGTCCTTCCAAGTCTTACAGTTGTCTGGTCCCTACCCACCTCCCGATGCCAGTCCGGCTGCTTCATCACGCTGCCAATATTCTGTCACAGAAGACAGCCACTGCCCTTAACCCCACCCTACTCACTTCTTGTTCAGGAGTTTCCCTGGCTAGAATGTCTTGAGGTTCTTTGGTTTTCTCATTTTGAATTCCCAGTCCAAATGTTTCCAACTCTGCTGGGAGGACTTGTAACTGCTGCATCCAAAAAGCCGAGGCAGGAGAATTGAGAGTTTGAGGCTAGCTTGGGCTATAATGTATAGGTCTTGTCTCAAAAAAAACAAAAGCACATGTTCCCCCTCTAAGAAATTCAGCTCACTTCCCTTTCTCCCACAAGCAGAATCGGTGAATTCCTCCTGGCATTTTGTGTCCACTACTGCGGCCTCCTCGCTTTGGATGATGGGCAGTTATGTATGTTTGTCGTCCATTGTGAAGATAATGGATCTTGCTTCTATCCATCCGTGTATCCTCAGTACTTGATTCTTAGTAGATAATAAATATTTGCTACATAAATTGATGGGTGGATGAATGAATGAATTGTCCCGTGTCTTAGGGACATCAAGTCTTATTTTGTTTTGAGACGAGATGCTTGCATAACCCAGCCTGGCCTCCAGCTCCCTGTGGCACTAGGGTTGACCTCTTAATCCTCCTGCTCCCAAGTGCGAGGATTACCAGTGTGTGCTACTGTGCCTGGCTGGACCGGCTTTTCTCTTCCGTTTATAAGTGTTCTTGAAGTTCTCACTTCACAAAGTACCCTGTAGGCTGGGTGTTCTGGGTCATGCCTGTAATGCTCGCACATGAGAAGTGGAGGCTGGAGGATCAGGAGTTCAAGTCATCCAGTACTGCACATCAAACACGCCTGTGTGAAGAAGAAGAAAAGGGGGAAAAGAAGAGGAAAAGGAAGAGGAGGAGGAAGAGGAGGAGGGAGGGGAAACACTGGATAAAGAGAAAGGGTAGCATTGTGACCCAGAAATATGAACCGTATGATTCAATAGTTCTACCAATCTTCTTTTATCTTGTCCCTCCTCCATGATCTGATTGGTCACTAAGCCTTGTGACTTTTACCCCCAAATACATTTTGAATCTTATCTTCTTTATCTAGTTTGGCACTACCATGGACTCACACCGATATGTTCATTTGTTTTGGTTTTGTTTTGGAGACAGGGTCTCACTATGTAGCCCAGGCTGGCCTCAAAGCCCACACCCTCTTGACGTGGCTTTCTGAGTGCTGGGATTGAGGCCATGCCCTGTACCCAGCAGGACAGGAAAACCTTGGGGCTGGCTCAGTTTATAAAGTCCCCGCTGCCTAAGCAGGACTCAATTTCAGATCCCTGGCACCCATGGTAAAGGAGGGGGAGCTGGAGAGATGGGCTCAGTGGTCATGAGCACTTGTTGCTCTTGCAAAGGACCTGGGTTAGAGTCCCAGTGCCCACATAATGGCTCACAACCATCGGTAACCCCAGTTCCCCTAGTCCAGGGGACCCAACAGGCACACATGGTGCATATACAGGCATGTAAAATATTCATACAACAAAATAAACAAAGAATTAAATAAAGCCAGATGTAATGTGCATATCTTTAACCCTAACAAGTGAGCAATTGGGGTAGGATGGGGTGGTGATGAAGACTTCCATGTTTCACTCACATCTACCCTACACACGTACACACATATACAACCATACATATACCACACATACATACACCCACACAAAAGAAAACCTTTCTGTAGACAGGCATGTTGCTGTGTACCTGTAGACCAGGCACCTGGGAGGCAGAGGCAGAAGGATGACAGGTTTGAGGGCAGCCTAGGCTACAACAGTGAGCTCTTGCCCTAAAACAAACAAGTATTAAGTCCTTCGGAACTCCCACTTCGGACAAACAAGATGGCCTCATGATTTCTTCTACCACGGTCATCTAATCCTCCAGCCACAGAGAATGTCCAGCATCTCTTTGGTTTCATTCCTTTGAAGGGTACTTTCCTTTTCTTTTTTTTTTTTTAACCTGGCTAACTCCTACGCAGCCTGCACGCTTCTCAGCTCTGCCTCTACCTCCCCAAACTAGCTCTTTGGAATGTGTGAGTTCTCTCACACCTCCTGTATGGCCATTGGTGGGCTGTTTCTTGTCTCCACATATATGAGTTCCTTGAGGATAAGAACCAAGTCTCATTTTCCTTTTTTATCTTTAGCACGAGGTATAGGATCTGACACAGAGTAACACCTGATAAATATCGAAGGATAAATGAACAGATGCGCCAGGCATGGTAGTGTGCTTCTGTAATCCCAGCATTTGTGATAAGTGGAAACAGGAAGATTAAGAGTTCAAGGGTCCAAGGTCATCCTTCATTTTCCGAAGCTCGTCTAGGCTACCCGAGACTCTATCTCAATACAAGAGCAAAAGATTCCCTCAATACAAAGACAAATCAAAGGACTGAAGATTTTGTAAATAATCATAACACAGAATGCCAAGATGAAGTTTGAGCTGTTACTGTTAGAATTCCTAGCCACTCCCCCAGTTACATGACCACACATGCGCTATTCAGTAGCCAGGCAAGATGCTTAGTCCTTCTAGGGCCTTACGTCCTACATAATCCCAGCGCCGCATGATCATGTAATCTATGTGCATGCGTGGTGTAGCTACATAAACCCATATGCCCATGTGCGGTGGTGGTGGGGGGGACACACCTATAAAAGCGGGTTCCACCTATTTCTCCCTGATTTTCCTTCTCGGTCATCCCATAGGCCTATGCACACCCCTTCTGTTCCCTTCCCTTAATAAACTCTTACAGTGGGTTTTGTTGTTCTTTGTGGCTTTTTTCGCACGGTAAACAGCGCCGCTTAATGAACAACATACGCCACTTAATAAATAACAGCTACTGTTTCCAGCACTCTATATACCATACATGGGACCTCCCCAATTAGATGGGTAGCAATGAGGAGTCTAAAGACCCCAGTGGTCAAGATACTTGCTCATAGGCCACTGGGACAGGATTCAGGTTTGGCATTTGGCTCCAGACTGTGTTCTTTTGGAGGGAAGGTCAATTGGTAGGGTCTCAGGTAGCCAGGGCTGGCTTGAACTCTTGATCTTCCCGCCTCTTCCTCCCAAGCTGGAATCACAGGCTTTTGACCCCACGCTTGGCTGACTGTGTTCTTAACTATTGTGCTTACCTCGCTGATGGACGGATAGATTATGAAAACAAAGGTATTCCAAACAGGGAAACAATAGAAGCCAAGATAAAAATGTTCACTCTGGGGGCTAGTGAGGTGACCCCGTGGG